TTTGCTTCCATATTTCTGAATAATATGTGTACTTCAACTTCTTTATATCTGTTTTAGATACCATGTCATTTAGGTGTCTGTTGACTCTTTAGTAGGAGATCTGCCTTGAGCTATCTTCTGCCTTCCCCTACCATCTCTATTTCTCTTCCTCTCAAAGTAATACATCATGATTTCGGCTAAAATAATAATATTGACATTATTACTCTTGTAAATATTATTCAATGACAAGGGAAGTTGTAATTATGATTATGTTTCCTTTCCTCTCTTGAGCTTTCTAAAAAATTTTCCTGATACATTTTTTAACTGTTTACTTTCCATCACCCTTATTTCCATCATCTGCTTAAACGTCTGTGGAAGAACAGCCTGAGACTATTGGTCATTTCTAGCCATTCAGGGGCCCGGGCAGTGGGAACCACAGGCCACGGCAGGCTGAGCTCTCCAGGCCCCAGTAGGGACCTGCCGCATAGGCAGAGGGCGCTGGCTCACCTCCAGGCCAGTCTCTGACCTCAGGTGGAATGCCGGTAAACTTGGGACCTGGAGCAGTCCACTTATGCTGCAATTCCTCCCTGGCCATGGTCTTTTCATCAGCAGTGCGATTATCAGTCTCTTTTCAATCCCTTCAGGATTTCTGTTGACATAGAGATCAGGCATGATCTCCCATGGGTGCTCACAGGAGACGGTGCCATGTATGCACCGAACTCCAGGGCCAGCACCCGCCACGTCAGACCCGCTGAGTGAGCTCCTTGTTGTTGTAAGGGAAGGCAGCGTCCACATAGCACGGAGGACAGTCTGTGTTTCACAGAGCAGGGTCGACAGGTTACCATAGACATGTCTCTGAGAGGCTGGCAGTCAACCCTGGGAGGGGTATCCGCCAGAAGGTATGACTCCCAGAAAACAACCTGGATCTACTCGGTGAGGGTTACAGGAATGAGGCAGCCAGTGATAAGAGTGGCCCCAGTGGCTGCAGCACACTTTAGCCCAGCTTGCTGGCCAGGATTCCTGGAGGATGTGATATGACATCAGCCAGGTTTTCAAAGGCAACAATGGCACGAGCTGCCAGCAGAAGCTTCTCCCAGGTTCTCTTCAGATTTACGATGTAGGTATCACTTTTCCTTCTGTGGATGTACTTTCCATCTTGACGTCAAGATTGCTGCCATGTAAGTTGTATTGCCACAGGAATTTGAGGACATCTCCTCCTTTCGTGGAACATCAAGGGCTCCAGACATTGTAAAAGTTTCTCTTTAGGTTAGGCCAGGAACTCAGAACAACACAATACGGACCTCTTTCTAGGCAGCAAGGAAAGGGTGGCCTTTCTTTTTAAAAATATTTGGTTTCTGGGGGCACCTGGGTGGCTCTGTCAGTTCAGCCTCTGACTTTGGTTCAGGCTATGATTTCACAATTTGTGAGTTCAAGCCCCACGTTGGGCTCTCTCACTTTGCAGTGAATTCTGAGATGGGGCACCTGAGATGAGCTACCCAGTGGAGAGCATCCTCACACACTGCAGACAGAAAGGGCTTCTAACAGATCCCACTGAGGCCACACTGCAGGGATCTTCCGTGCACAGCAATGAGACAGAGTCCTGTCCTCTCCAACAAGGTCCAGACCTCAGCCCCGAATGGCGGTGAGGAGCCCTTCCTTGGCCACTCAATTTCAGTGCTAGGATTGGTGGCTGCTCCCCAGATCTACTGCCTCTATGTGGTAGGAGTCCTCTTTGACTCTTACTTGCCAACCGCACTCCTAATTCCATTAACAATCCTTTACAGTAAACGTTCTCGTTCAGATTACTTGGTTTCTTCCCCTTGAATAAGCCCTGACTGAAACACGCCCTCATTTAGTCTTAGTGCTAGACGTAATGAAAGGTTGAATGCTCACCACTGTCCTTCTGTCGTTAGTCAGTTTGATGCTGAGTTTCATTCTCTGGATTCTTCAGGAAGAACTCAAATGAATGACATTCTTGGAGTTCCTCCATTATGATAACAAATTAGCCTATGTTTTTGTACTTGAAAGTCAGTTTTGGTGGATACAAAGTCCTAAGTTCTCATTCTTTTTTCTTTTTTCTTTAGAAAGAGTGAGCTAGAATGAGTGCGGGAGACGGGAAGAGGGAGAGAGAGAATCCTAAGCAGGCTCAGTAGGGCCAATCCCACGACCCTAGGATCATGACCTGAGCTGAAATCAGGAGTCGGATACCCAACTGACTGAGCTATCCAGGTATCCCTCTCATTTTCTTTCTTTGAACATTTTAAATGCTTCACTATTTTCTTCTTGCATGAAGTGTTACTGTTGAAGTCCTATGATAATCTGGTTTTTTTCTCTCAGGAATGTTGGCCTAAATGACCAAAATATAAAGTCGAGTAATTTTTACTAGAATGTATTTTGTTATTCAGTGTTTTCACAGTATATTCTTTCAACATGAGGTTTTAAATATATATATGGATATACATATTAATACATTAATATAATACATATTGACTACATATAAGTACAAAAATCTATTTCTATTTTAGGAAAAGTTCTCTTGAATTATCATGTTGTATTCTTTTAACAAACTGTTCTTTATCAGGGCTTCTTTATCCATATATTGGATCTCCTTTGCCAATCTTCAATGTTTATCATTTCTGTAAAATAATTTTTCTCTAAATTTCTTTTTTACTTAAAAAAAAATCTCATTTTCCAATTCTCATTCTCTTTGGACACTATCTGTAGTGTTTGTTTACTCCTGGGTTCCCCCTAGTTTAATAATTTTTTTTAAATGTTTATTTTTGAGAGAGAAAGAACATGAGCAGGGAAGGAATGGGTCGGGGGGTGGCGGGGAGAGCAGAGGATCTGAAGCGGGCTCTGTGCTGACAAGAGTGAGCCCAACGTGGGGCTCGAACTCACAGACTGTGAGATCATGACCTGAGCCAAAGTCAGACACTTAACCGACTGAGCTACTCAGGCTCCCCCTCCTCCTAGTTTAGTATTCTTTTCAGAAATATTTATTTCTTTTATTCCTAATTCTTCCCCAAGTTCTATTAGTTCATTTCTGAGTTCTTCTTTCTCTGATTTATTTTGCTCTTTTGTTTCTTATATCATTTTAACATCTTTAGTTTTGACGTGATTTTTTTTTTTTTTTGCACTGATATTGTGCAAGTTTTGCATTTGTGGTTTGACATCATCCTCTTGTATTTTGGGGTTGGTGGTGTTACCTGTCAATTAGTTTTGTTGTAAATGTTTCATACATTTTTGGTTTTACTAACTAGTCTGTTTCTTTGTGGGGAGTTCCAGAGATTCAGAAGTCACGTACTGCTGTATTTCCAGGATCCATTTACATTTTGAGTCATGAATACTTCTCTTTCTATATTCCTGACGCTTCACTCCTTAGCTGGGTGTGACGGTAAAGGGTGACGGCACGCTGCTTGAAGCGGCAGTGGCGTGTCACATCACGTCTTCATTTTTGAGTGACTACTTGCTTGTAACTTTCTAGGTTGTCCGTAGCTTCTCTGCAGTACTGAATATATTCTGTTCTCCTCAGCATTGATTTTTACTTGTGAAAACTTGGCTTCCAGTCTCAATGTTGTTTCTTTGTCAGTAGTTTAAGTTTTGATTGCTATTAAGATTGTTAAAATGTTCTCTTTGCTTAACTTCATCATGATGTGTATGTTATTTTCTCAAGACTGGGTTTTTCTTTCAATCTAAAGAGTAATAATCTGTCTTCAGTTCTAGAAAATTTGGGGGCCATTATTTTAATTTTGCCTCTGTTCTCTCTTGTGGGCTGCCTATTAGATGTCCGGTTGAACGTTTTCACTTTATGTAGCACCTCTGAACTTGTTAATTTGCATAGGCAAAAAAAAAAAAGTTATTTTTTGTTCAAGCCAGTTAGAATTCAGGCTTAAGTCACTGAAACAGAAACACTCTTACTTTCCTCAAAAGGCAAGTGAGAAAAGAAACTGAAAAAGAGGTGACTCCGGAAGTAATTACCTTGAAACCTAAACTACTCCTGAACTTTTAGGTCAGTAAATTCACTTATCTTTTTCTCTCTTAAATCAATTACAGTTGGATTTCTGACAACTGCAGCCAAGAGTCCTGATTAACATAAATGTTTACTATGTGGGTGGCACTCTACCAGGTGCTACATAATCAACGATATTCAAAACAAAGTCCATGTCGCCAATCACGACAATATTTCACACTCATTCAATACCATATTCACATATATATACACATACAGAGAGAGAGAGAGAGAAAGAGAAGAAAGAAAGAGGAAGGGGAAATCATGCCTGGGCCAGGGTATTCAGAAAAGGCTCCAAAGCCCTGGGAAACGAACGGGTCTTGCCTTAGCGGAAAATAAAGGAACAGGCATCAAGGTTAACACAAGGCAGCTTTGCTAGAGTCTACAGCAGTGGAAGTAAGATTTTACGGACACAAATTAGCTCCAGGATAAGGACAGGGTCTAGATCTTAAATCAACATAATCCCCCCTCCCTTCTTTTATACACTGAAAATCTCTGCAGCTGAGCCATACTATCTTCAGTTTAATTTGGTTATTAATTTCTTATCCTCTTAAGGGCATATGTCTTTTGTCACTCCCTCGAGTACAAATGGCCAGCGACAAATTCACTGGAATGAATGCAGGCGGAAATAAGCAACAAGCCCAGGGCCTGGAGACCCAAACTGTCGCGGTTCGCTAATAGGGAGCTGGGACTGCTCTTGGAAATCTCTTCTTCCACCAGCAGTGTCTCCAGGGACAGCCTGAGTCCACTTCCCAGGGGATGATGTGGGGAAGCCACAGGCCTTAGGTTTCATGAAGAACGTGAAAGGTGGCGGGGGAGCGGGCAGCGCGAGCCCCACAACCGGCGAACCAAGGACCCCGGCGTCCGAGTCCCCCGACGTCCACCGCCCCCGCCAGGAGCACGCAGCCCCTCTTCCGCTCCGCCCCCCTCCGCCTGCCACGCCCCGCGGCCGGCGACGCTGGGGAGAGGCGGGGTTTCCGCTTCCGGTGGCGAATTGTTGACGCCTGCGGCTGCTGCGGTGGCGACCGGGCCGTTGGGGAGGGGCTAGTGGGGGAGGGAGACGGCGCAGTGACAGGACCGCCGAGGGTGCTGCTGAGGCGACGATGGCAGAGGGGCCGGAGGAAGTCCGAGGCCGCCCTCCCGGGCAGGACGACGGCGGAGGGGACCCCGAGCCCGTCCCTTCCCTGAGAGGCCCTCCTGCCGCCGCCGCCCCACGCCCCCGGGACGGGCCGCAGGCCGAACCACAGGCCCCGGGCCGGCCCCCAGCCCCGGGCCTCGCGCTAGCTGCGGCCGCCGCCGAGGAGTCGGAGCCGCCGCGCGAGTCCGGGAAGTGCGGGGAGGCGGCCCCCGGCTCCAGTGCGGGGCCGCAGGAGCCGGCAGGCCGCGAGGCGCCCGAGGCCGGCGCGCCGCGAGAGAGGCCGGCGCGGCTGAGCGCCCGCGAGTACTCCCGGCAGGTGCACGAGTGGCTGTGGCAGTCCTACTGCGGCTACCTCACCTGGCACAGCGGCCTGGCCGCCTTCCCCGCCTACTGCAGCTCCCAGCCGCCCCCGCCGAGCTACCCCTCGGGCGGAGGCGCCGCCGCCCCCCAGCCCGCGGCGCCGCCGCCCCCCCAGCTGGGTTATTACAACCCCTTCTACTTCCTGAGCGCCGCGGCCGCCGGGCCCGACCCGGGGGTGGCCACCGGCGTCACCACCGCTGCTCCCGTCGCGGGCCTGGGACCCCGGGCTCCGCAAGGGCAGGGATCCGTCCGCTCAACCCCAGTGACCAGAGTGGGATCGGCCGCTCCTTCGCGAACCCCGAGCGAGACCGGGCGGCAAGCAGGTGAGTAGCGCGTCGTGAAGGTTGGGCGGAGCGAAGGGGTCTTACGGGAGCTCGCTGGTGGGGAGAGAGGGCACGCGTTTTACATCTGGAACTGGTGTTTGTCCACGTTCGTCAGCTGTCTTCTGCCCAGGCCTCAAATTCCCAAAGTGTGGCGCGAAGCTGCACAGTTTGTTCTTCCTTTACACCTGGCTCTCCGAATTGATTCCTTATTCCACGTGTAAGGACGTCTTTGCTCCTGAAACCGTGCCCTTGATCTCCACGACGTGGAGAGAGCCAAAGCTTAATCGTCAGATGGCAAACCCGTTTTGACGGCTGGTGGCGGTTGGAGGGTGCCGGTAGTGGATTTATTATGCTGGAAAAAATCCAGACGTGGATTTATTATGCATGACAGGATATATGATATACAATCTTTTCTATAATGTGTAATTTATATAATTATATATTATCTATATGAAGAACAGTGGGGCCGACGGATATAAAAGATTTACATAAATATAAGTGGAATTATGAACCTTTGGGACCTAGCTGAATGATCTTGTATATTGTCTGTTTACTTCTCTATGGGAATTAGAATGTTTTGCATTAGTTACGCGGCTTAGTTTATTATTTAGACTTTTTGTTTACTTTATTCAGCCACAGATACAAGGGACAAAAACTAGTTTTTCTGAATTTGATCCCGCTCAGAATTTGAGATGTCGGATTGATAATCATTGGATTTATTACATAGAAAGCAAGACAAAGTGAATAGGGGGTAAAATGAGGAACACAGGTATTTACTTTCTAGTAATCGTCTATACTTAACCTTGGTTTTTACAAAAAATGTTTAATTTGGGGGCGCCTGGGTGGCCCAGTCAGTTAGCTTCCAACTCGATCTCAGCCTGAGTTCAATCCCCCCAACCCCTCTTTGGGATCAGCCTTGGGTATGAAGCCTACTTAAAAAAAAAAAAAAAAAAAAAAAAAAAAAAAAAAAAAAAAAAAAAAAGTTTAATTTTGTGACCTAGGCTTGTGATCACCTGGATTCTCATTTGAGTCCCTAGTGAAATGTATTGAGTACCTTAAATAATTACATTTATCTGTGAAATCATTTTTTAAACATTAAGAGGATGAAAGCAAACTTTTAAACTGTTCAGTAAATAGTGGAATAGAGTTGCTGTAAAAACATGTACTATTCATGTAGGCAATGCCAATAATTGTCGCAAGGTTTTAATTAGCAAGTTGTACCTTGACTTTATGTTCTCTGATTTATTACCTAGCTTGGGTTCCAAGGCCTATGTGAAATAAGTAGTTTTATTACTAACTTTTTTTTTTTTTTTTTAATTTACAGGCAGAGAGTATGTTATTCCATCCTTGGCCCACAGATTTATGGCAGAAATGGTGGATTTCTTTATTCTGTTCTTTATAAAAGCAACGATTGTCTTAAGTATTATGCACCTCAGTGGAATAAAGTAAGTTAAGGCTATTTGCAGAAAGGTTTTAATGTCTACTGCATAGAGATCTTGTTTTCTGAGGTTCTGTTCACAGCTGCAAGTCACTAAATGGACAGTCTGTGTGCCAGTGTCATGGTTTCTCTAATAGGGAAATCTCTTTGTCGTATTTTTTTCTTGGTAGTTTTAAGAAATAACTACAAAAGAGAGAAAAACATTTAATAAATTCTGAAAGATCTGGGACTCTCACCTATTAAAAGTTAGGTAAAGGTTTTGATTTTTTCTTTTTTTTTTTTAATTCAGCCCCTCTTACTATCCTGTTCAGAGTAAAGACAAAGGCATAAAGAGCTTTTGGTAAATCAACTGTTGATTATAAGTTAGATGGCATTTCCAAATGGGATTGCATTTTATACTATCAGGCATGTCCCACGCAAACACAGTGGGCCATCTATTTGAGTAACCTCCTCTCCTATTAATGAGCATATAGCACTTATCACTTGCTAAGCACTTTATACATGCTAAGTAAGCAGGTAGAAATAATATGGATTCTTTAATCTTAAAACCACTATGAGATGTAGAGTTTAATAGCCTTGTTTTTATATATTGAAGTTTGGGTTTATAAGAAGTTAAGCCCAGGATTTATCATTGCAAAGTTAAGAAGTGATAGTGTCAAGATGCAAACCCTTGTGGTCATGTTTTAGAGCCCTTGCTGGGAACCTGAGTGTTACTGAGATTCCTCCCTGTCCCTCCCAGGGACACATCCAGTCAGGTACCAGCTCCCTTCTTTTCAGGCTCTTGAAGAGCCTTCAACTCAGACAATTTCCTCTTGACTGACAGACGGTGCTTCATCATCACTGCTTCTCCCTAGTCTAGTTATTGTCATCACTTTTCTAGATCATAGCAAAAGTCTTCTAACTGGTACCTTAGTCCCCCAACTCCTGTTTTATCTCAATCCAGTCTCTGATATAAACCAAAGAGATCATAAATTCTGATTCTTCCCCTCTCCACCTTAAAACCTTTCTTACTGCCATCAGGATAAAGTCTAGTCTTCATATGGCTTAACAGATGCTCTCATTTTTCAATCACTTGTTTTATACTTAATATTTGAGCCATACCCAAGTGCTTACAGCTTCCATCACAGTCTCATTCAAAGGCTCTCTCTCTCTGGCTAGTCCCTCTCTCTGAAACTTCCCCCTTCTTAGTCTGGCTAACTTCTCTTCATCCTCCAGATCTCAGCTCAAATGTCATTTCTGGGAAGGCTTCACTCACCATGGTAAATGTTCTTGGTATGCATTTCCATACTGCCCTATGGGTCTACGTAATAGCCCTCATCCCACTTTATTCTTAGCTAATTAATTGTTCTGCTTTGTCTAGTTAGGTAAGAGTCTCCTTGAAAGCAGAGACCAAGTTGAGTTCCCTCACCATTATGTCCCCAGGGCTAGTACAGTGCCTGCTCACAATAGTGCTGTTTATTTGTTGAACAGACTAATGAATGTTTTGTGAAACTAAACGGGTGGAAACCTAAGATTAGTTTAGAATTTCAGTTCAAGTTTGTGACTTACACTAATGGAAAAAATATCAGTGCAGTTGTGCTGGTGACTAAGTCTTTATAACCCCAAACTATTATTTTATTCAGGGATATCTCTAAGTTTGCTATGCATTATATAATAGAAGAAATAGATGAAGACACATCAATGGAAGACTTGCAGAAAATGATGATTGTGGCTCTTATATACAGATTATTAGTTTGTTTCTATGAGGTAAGCTACTGACTCAGCAAATATTAACATTTAACAATCTTTTTTTTTTTTTTTTTAACATTTATTATTGAGAGACAGAGAGACACAGAGCATGAGCAGGAGAGGGGCAGAGAGGGGGAGACACAGAATCCGAAATAGGCTCCAGGCTCCGAGCTCAGCACAGAGCCCAACATGGGGCTCGAACTCACAAACTGCGAGATCATAACCTGAACCGAAGTCGGTCTCCCAACCAACTGAGCCACCCAGGTGCCCCTAACAATCTAATTTAAATTATCACCCCAATACAAAAAGAAATGGGAATTTACAGTTATTCATATTTTTGTCAAATGTCTCTGTTTAAAAATGTTTTCCAAATGTTCTTGAATGTAGATAAATACGTGGGGCACCTTGGGTGGCTCAGTTGGTTAAGCGTCCGACTTCGGCTCAGGCCATGATCTCACGGTCTGTGAGTTCAAGCCCCACGTCGGGCTCTGTGCTGACAGCTCAGAGCCTGGAGCCTGCTTTGGATTCTGTGTCTCCCTGTCTCTCTGCCCCTCCCCTGCTCACGCTCTGTCTCTTGTCTGTCTCAAAAATAAATAAACATCAAAAAAATTAAAAGATAAAAAAATACAGCTCCCTGAGTGGAGATGTTTTACAATTTCTTTGTAACATTTCAGTCTTGTGGTCCAAAAATATACTTGTAAATTGGTTGTGGAACTTGAAATGTATTTTTCCATAGAAACAACTTGCTAAAAAAAAAGGCGGGGGGGGGCCAAAGAGAAATCTTACAGTACGGAGAAATCTTGTGGCATGGAGGGGTTGAGAGACCAGAAGAAATGCATTACAAGGGTAACCTCTGAGTATTCTAGGAAATTCTTTCAACTTGAAAATTGTTTTAAAGGAATAACATGACAGAAAAACTTAACCTTTGAAACTGGTAGCGTTGACCTAGTAAATTAAAATTATCCTTCTTTCCTTAGATAATCTGCATTTGGGGAGCAGGCGGAGCCACCCCCGGGAAGTTCCTGCTGGGGCTTCGAGTTGTGACCTGTGATACATCAGTGCTTATTGCACCGAGTCGGGTTTTAGTGATTCCTTCCTCAAATGTTAGCATTACAACGTAAGTTCTTCTCTTAGCTTAATTTACTTATGAAAATAACAAATTTTGAGCGTAGTATTCGATACTCGTAAGTTCTACCATTTGATACAGTATTTTTAGCATTTTTAGTTGGTAATTTTTCTTCATGGCGTGTAACAGACATTGTTAGATTTAAAATGGAAAAGTTTGAGTTTTTCAATTGTTATATGATTATAGACCACTCTCCAGTGTACAATTTCAAGATAGTCATTTTATGAACTATCAGCCACCATAATGAGAGGGTCTGGGTGGTGGTGGTCTGTGTATCAGTGCTCTGTATCTAGTTTGATTATTCTCTAATAAATCTGTGGTTATCGGGCCAGTTACTGATCTGCCTTTAGCCTCTATCAGTAATCCTGTCCATCCCGTCCTGAACAGGCAGCAGGAGTTTGGACAGAGATGCACGTGTGTGTCCAGCTCCTGCTCTAAGTGACAGCGTGTAACTCTTGGTAGTACTCACGGCTAGCTGTTGGTGTCTGTCTCTGTGAGGAGGTTCAAACAGTGCTAACGCAAGTTCTAGAGAGTTAATTAAGGGGCTGTCAGTTGAGCAAAACAGGATACTGGCTGGAATTGCTGCCCAAGTGATTCAGAACTGGGTTGTTATTAGATAAAGAAATATGAGAGACTCCGGAAGCCTTGATTTTGCTAATATCTCCAAAATTTCCTTACAGTTTTGTGATTATAATCCTGGTTGCTACTTTTAATGAGTCAATAATGGCTGCTTATTGAGCACCTCTTCTGTAACAGGCATTGTTAAAAACACTGAATGTGTATTAACTAATAAGACAGGTACCATAGGTACTATTACTCCCTTTTTACAGAAATGAAACACAAGTGACTGATAGAAACAATTTAGTCTGGATTCAGAGCCCACACCCTCAGCCACTGTGCTTTTTCTATAGCCTTTCAGAAATCTAGCACTAGTAGGATAAGTTTCCACTCTGAGCTGTGGTTGAAAGCTTTTTTTTTTTTTTAAGCTTTCTTTAATCACAGCATCCCACAAAGAAAGAATACCCAGTAATTTAAAATGTGAGTGCTTCATAGAAGGTGGAAAATGGGACTGCATTTTGTATATTAGTTTAGAAGGAACTAAACACAAATGACTGTAGAAAAGGTAAGTAAAGGGAATAGATATTTGTCTACAAAATATCAGAGAAAATACTGTAACCTTTAGTTCACCTTCTACAAGACTTGTTTATTACTGCTTTTCATGTGACAGTTCTGAATCTTTTTATGTTGATGATGTCTTTAGAACAAGCCCAGATGGTCTTACTAGAGTATAATGCTACTTGAAAGTAACTCATATCAAAGATAAAAAACTGTCAAGACTTTGTATGTTTTATGTATTTTGAACTTGATAGGATACTGTTAATCTCCGCGTGGTTGGTATATAATTTGTCTGATTTTTTTGCCTTAATTTTTTAGGTCCACTATACGAGCTTTGATCAAGAACTTTTCTATTGCTTCTTTTTTCCCTGCTTTCATCACACTGCTGTTTTTTCAGCATAATCGAACAGCCTATGACATTGTAGCAGGAACCATTGTGGTAAAGAGAAATGGGGTCAGATGATGCCCCTGAATTCCATACTCTCTGGAATGATGACAAGACTAAATTATGTATCAAGGCCATCAGTATCCCTGGGTTACACTAATTGATGATTTAGAAATTAAAGCAGTCGCTCCAGTGTGATGCAGGTGACTATTCTGAAAGTATTGATATTACTTGAATGCCAAAGAACTTTTCCAGAAGAAAAATCTGTTAAATTTAAATGTTAAAAATTTTTAGATTGAAAAGAAGGCAAGTGATTTTATAATCAACAATGGACAATATATACTTTCTTAAGATCTAAGGCATTAGAATTTGCTGAAAGCATTTTCAGCTCTGAAATCTCCAGATGAAACTTAAAAAATTTTGGTTTATCCCAGAATGATGGAAAAGTCCAGTTGTGTTTTGTAAACACATTAACTCATATTTTAGTCACTTCTTGGGGCAATTGTTGTCTTTGCTTTTGGGGAGGGGGGTGGGGACACAAATTTGATAACCCGCTTATCTCCCACTCTGGGAGGAAGTGAGTCAGCTGCAAGAGAGAGGGGCAAAGGAGGCAGGCCTAGGTTCCCTTACTGACGTTCTCAGATCTGTACTGCAATGCATTGTGGGAATGATGCCACTTTACAAGTATCGTTACTGTTCTAACATGTATTTGGGGCAAGTTTTGCATGATGATGAAAAAGTATTAAGTCATTTTGCTGTATTCATTTTTTTAAAGAAAAGGTAAGTTAGTGATTGCTTTTGGTGGGGGGAGGGGGGTCCTAAATTTTCACCATAAATTAAAATTACAATTCATGTGCAAGTGTTTTTAGTGCCCTAAATCAAACTATATGTGGGGGGAAATTATTCGTCAAATTGTTGCATATTTACTGTAAAACAACATTCCCAGTATGTGTGCAGCATGAAGAAAGTGTTAGTGCTTTTCAGTGTTCTAATAGAACTTCTGTTTCTATAAGGATATTTACACACTAGGTAGTTTCCTTTTATATTTTATATAGTTCTAGGACTTTTGAAACCTCAAGGAGTTAAATAATCATAGTATTTCATGGTAAAATACTAGGTAGCTTATTAAATATTAGCGATTTTCCCATTATGAACTATTCTAAAACAAGGACAGGTACTTCCAGACATTTTTCTAAGTTCTTTGGGCCAAAACCTCACTTTGGGGCTGCCAGGGATGGTGTCTTGAGGGAAATGTTAAGTAACAGTTTGTGTATTGCCATTTTAATTTATTCTTCTACTGAGGCAAAGCTTAGTGTTTTAAGTATGTGTGCATGTTTTGTTAGATGGCCCTGTTAGCTGTGTTGAGAGAATACCTGAAAAAGTTTTATTTCTTAGGCGTTTTCTCCAACCCTGATACTATTTTCCCAAAAAACACTAACCTCTGTTGGACACTTCATAATTAGATTGCTTAAAAATCTTGACTTTTTTTTTGGTCTTTGATAGCGAATGAAAGACAGGTATATTATCACTGTATCAGTTTTTAAAGTGGGTTTTTTCTTTAAAACTGAAAGTATTCACATTTGATGTCTATAGAAACCTTAACAGTGTCCTTATTAATACCTTTTTATCATAAAATTTCATAAGCCATGTTTTTCAAAATAATTTTACATTAAATTCAACACCACAGAAAGCCTGTCCGTTAAGTGCGTCCAGGTACTCGACAAATCATTCACTTGTTGCCCCTGGGAAGATATTTAGCTTGACGGCCCTTCAGGGTAAGTGTTACCCAAACGTACCACTCAGTAGTGTACTACATTAGCATTGGTGGATACACTATTTTTGCCACTGCTGGGGGAGATCCAGTTGCAATGTCCTTCAGCCATGTAGCTCTGGAGATCTTTATAATTTCCTCTCAGAAAATTGGAAGGTTCACCGTCTAGGCTATTTCAATGTATACAAACAAAAGCAAGTCATGTCACCCAGTTTAACTTCTTAAAAAATTGCATATTTTCCGTATCTGAGTTGTTCAGAATCATATCTATGTAGGTTCATTTAGGTCCATCTTAGGGTTCAAGTTACATAGCCCGATAAAAAAGTATTCCTGCTTTGCCTTTACAACAAATTGCAAGGCTGTTTGTATTTCTGAATGCACTTAGGAAAGAAAAGATATTTGATGCCCAGATCATTGGGAAAAAATGACAAAAAATGGGGAAGGAGGGAGAGTTCTTTTCTCTTCGGGTTGTGGTGGGGGGGAGGGGAGGGTGGGAAGCCTCCCATCTTTTCAAAAACACTTTTCTATTTGATGTATTTCATTTATAGAAAATTTCTGCATCAGAGTATAATTCTCATGCCGAAGCTCTAGCCTAAAAAGGCAAAAAGATAGTTGTTTTCAAAGAATGTTTACAAACATTATTCATCACTTTTACAAGATAATAAGGGAACAAAAATCAAAAGTAAGCAGAGTAAAAGAACACTATTGCAGTGAAAGTGCCCTAATGAAAACCACAGAATAGGCAGTTAACTCAGGCATCTAGAAAAATCTCAGTACCTACTAAAAGTAGCTAGAGTGGTAGTGCACCGTAAGAGAAGTCTGACTTGAGTGTTCACGCGGGCCGAGGTGAGGAAACCCGAGGATGACAAGCCTCGCTCTTTTTGACTCATCTGTGACCATAAAACTAAAGCCAACACTTTTTTAGATAGAAAGCCTTCAAAGTATCGCCCAGCTGATACCTGTGTAGCACTGGTTCAGAAGTGACTTAAACATTTACCTTCCGATTTTACCCAGATATTTAGGATTTAAAAAAAAATGGTTGAGGGCCCCTTTGTCTAAATTATAAAATTAAGGCCTTAGTGTTCATCGTTTCAAATGACAGGAAGAGTGGTTTTTAGCTGCATTAAAAGGATTTGTTCCCTTATGGGACTTGTTTGGGTGTTTTACTTATGCATAAGTGTTTCCAGCAAAGGAAGACAAAAAAGGGAGTTTACTTGCTACTCGGGAGGAGGGCTTTCTGAGAGGAGGGGTAGGACGTTTTCATTCTACACTTACCCTGTTCAAAGCTGTGGTTCCTTTGGAGGAATATGCCAACAGCAGTGTTCGTAAAACCTGACCAGTGTCATTTCACGTACTTGCCATTGCCCGGCCTCCATCCCAGAGGCCAGAATCTTTTATAAGAAGTGCTTGCCTGGGTGACGTTCCTCCTCTCCAGCTGTGTGTCTATTTTCTTGCAGTTCATTATAGTAGGACTTGACCCACAAACAGTATCTGATGGCCTGCCTATAAGTAAAATTCAGCATTCTATTTTTAATAATTTGTATGCCACCGATTTGTATCCTTTGTCTCAATAAATACTTGATCACCGATGCTTTCGTTTTTTGACTGTTGAGATTTGCTCTAGAATTTCCTGCTCACGGAGACCTTGCTCAGCTTTTCCAGCGTCTCTGCCTTCAGGAGAATGGCAGTCAGCTAAGAGTGCTTTCAGAAAGATCTAGCAACAAGCCATCCACCCTTAGGGGTTGTACAGTCCTGTAGCAAAAGTCACTCAAAAGTTCCCCAGAGATGACTAAGCTTCATGTTAAGCCAGTCCTGTCCTTTCCTTAAAGTGGTTAACCATCCCGCATTATACAAGATACTAAGAACGCATTTTACACCCAAAGAACCGGAAGTTCAAAGTCTCATAGGTGGTGAACGACCGCGCTGGGCAATTTAAACCTAGTTCTGATCTTACAAGCATTTCCTGTTGTAACACATCTAGAGGAGGACAGGATACAAAACAGGTCCCCAAGAACAACAAAGCTGAGAAACCTAAATGGAGCTAAAACGGCCTGGTCTGAGCTCTGCAGACCGTGTTGATCTGAGCCCAGGCGCACACTACACATTGTGGAACTACAGGGAACTTTTAAAGCAAGCTTTACGAGCTGCCCCGTGTTATTCGTAAATTCAGCTGGTGTGTGTCACTAGACCCAGTACACGGCCATTTCCTCAACCTGACTATACCAAATGTGCAGTTTCCACTAAACACACAGGCTCGTAACCTTCGTACAGCTTTCAGGGAGTTTCACTTTAAATAGGCCCCGGAAACAAGTCACGGAGATGAAAAGGACAGCGTAACAAGTCAGTACTGCTGGAATAACGTATGGTGACCGACGGTGACTGCACTGAACTGTGGGGAGCACGAAGGAGAGACTCCTGCTGTATGCCTGAAACGAATATGGTAGGTCAACAAGAGTTAAAAATGAATTTTAAAAATAAACCTCCTGGGGTGCCTGGGTGGCGTAGTCGGTTAAGCGTCCGACTTCAGCCAGGTCACGATCTCGCGGTCTGTGAGTTCGAGCCCCGCGTCGGGCTCTGGGCTGATGGCTCGGAGCCTGGAGCCTGTTTCCGATTCTGTGTCTCCCCCTCTCTCTGCCCCTCCCCCGTTCATGCTCTGTCTCTGTCCCAAAAATAAATAAACGTTGAAAAAAAATAAATAAACCTCCTATAATTAGGATTTTATCATTTGAAATTAAAGTGTTAGACTACTTTATAGCCTGGTTACAAATTTTTAAAATTCGTCCCAACACTTCAGGAGCGCCTTGGTGGCTCAGTCAGTTTGAGCGACGGACTCCGGCTGGGGTCATGATTTCACGGTTCGTGCGTTCGAGCCCTACGTCGGCTCTATCAGCACAGAGCCCACTTCAGATCCTCTGTCCCCCTCCCACACACGCTCTTTCTCAAAAATAAACATTAAAAAATAATAGTTATTCCAACATTTCAATTTCAAATAACAAAATCCTAATTACGTAAACAATTGCAGGAGAGAATTTATAACAGATGTGAACAAAGGCGGCCAGCTTGAAGAGATTTCCCAGTTGTTTACATCATACTGTTTCTTAAGGCCCCAAATCCTGAATTACTGAAAATCACCCGGCACCCAAAGTGGCAGGCCTGGACCTCCTGCATCTGGAGTCCTCCAGCCAGAGAAGGGGGTTTTCTTCCTGTGCTATTTCCCCTTCTCCCAACCAACCGCCCTCAGTTTTCACTTGTGTATAGAACACGTAACACAGAGACCCGCCACCGAGAGCGGGTCTGCAGCTGGAGCCAGTCCGGGCGGGAGACCTCGCAGAGCAGGGGACAGACAGGCTTGAGGCTAGAGCTGCTTTCGCGAGCGCCCCTAGGGCTCCCCCGTGCAGCCCGAGAAGAGCCGCAGTCGAGATGCAAAGTACAAGCGCTACACGCCGAACACATTTCTACAGACTTCAGTTTGGGCGCCGGAAGATTTCCTTCTTCAACCGCCTTAGGTAGGATTTTCAGTCACTTCTACTAAATATTTCTAGCACATTTCTTATGAGAATTTCCCACAGTAGAAAGCCTAATGTCCCCATTCGTACAGGCCTAGAGAATGGCTAACATGAACGAGCCCGCAATTTAGTTTGGCATCAACATCCGAGCATTAAGACTGGATTTCCAGGACTCATCACCATTTGCCCCCAGACAGGCCCGTGTCAAATGTGTATTACTAATAAAGTGAGAATTAGAAAATGTCTACCCCCAAACCAGCATCTGACGATGGCCTAAGAGGTTTTCAAGACGACAAACATCCTACGCCAAAATTGGAAACACATATAAAAAAGCTTGTGAACATTTTCAATTTCTGAATTGGCAAATGGTATCCCAGCAGCTCTTTTTGACAGACCACCGAAGAGACCTAGTCAGAAAGAAAAAAAAAAAAAACTGCTAACATAATCCACACGAATTCCACACGACAGAACCACTCAAGTTTTTGCAGGCTGCTCTGGGCACGTGTCTCCAAAAGCTCAATCGATAAACGGCTGTCTGGTCACCTCTCAAGGAAGATACAAATACAAACAGAAATGGTCACGTGTGTTTATTTTCAACTTTTAAAAAGGTATGTCAATTTATATGCAAAGTAGGCGTGATTCCTAGCACCAGACAAAAAGCAGGGTACCTTCTACATGTTTTACGTTCAGACACTTCCCCGCTTCACTTAGGAGATGTCCAAGTCACTTAAATGGATTCTTTGGAATTTCTCTGACCGTGGCGAACCTTTATACAAAGGTTCCCTTCCGTTAACACCGGTACCTTCACTTTAAGTTAACACTAGAACGAAAAATATTTCATAATTTTTTATTGATGGCATTTATCCCATGGTTTAACATGTTAATTATACTGTAATAAACATGGCTTTAATATTAAACTTTTCCTTATTATCCAAAGTCACCACAGTCCATTTCAGTAAATATAAAAATATATGCTTAATACTTTGTACAATACTGGTTTTTGGTCCAAACAAAACTGGATCAGAAAAGCCAATAAATTCACTTTAAGAATCCCCAATTTTTTTTTAAAGATTTCCAAATGGATTTAGGCAACTTTGAATAATGGGATTTACATAATAAAATCTGAGACGAGACTAAACAAAGAACAAATTTTCTAACACAAAATTAAAATTTCAAGTTCACAGATTTATGTTATGCCAAAAAAGTACAGAAACAAAATTGTATTTACACAAGTTTCATAATAAAATAATGAAAAAGGCAAGACAGGTGAGAGTCAGGAGAATGAAAATATAGAAATAGCAGAGAATTATTAAATGGAGAATGAACTAGATCTAGTAAGTCCTTAGCACGGACCATCCTTTCATCAGGCTTCCTCTATCGGAAAATCTTAGTGCACGAGACACCCGACTCACTCCACACATACACCAGCACAAACTCGGCAGAGAAATCACTCACTTCAACACTCTCTAATCTACACGGGGGTCCTCCGATATAATTACAACGTCAGTGCGTTCCATAAACGCGTGTCAACGCACGCGGTGGTGCAGACACAGGGGTTCTTTACAAAGCCATTCGCGGAGCGGGCTCCCTCCCTGGGCCCGGCCAGCCTGCGCCGGGCCAGGGACCAATGCGCCGGGTCAGAGTTTCGCTGAAGAATCAGTCACCGATCTAGCTATGATTTGTTTTAAAACGGGAGTGGGAGAGGTGAGGGCAGGGCTTCTGTAAAGAAAGAAAACAAGGAGGAAAACCCCCAAATTAAAGAAGTCTTGAGGCGGATCTGACGTCAGATAACCCAGCACACAGGACGATCCAGTATCTGGAAAGCAGGGCACCGGCT